CTTTTATTGAATATCGAATACTTTTACACATCAAATAACTAAACCACTGCACAGATACATCCCAAACAAAAACAATTCCAGTCGGATAATACCAAATGAACAAATTCAACGATCGTTACTTATCAACAGCATCACAAAACATCAATTACACATGCAACAAACATATCAATCGCAATGATAAACGAACTAATCTGCACACTTCACTCAATACGTTCAAAAAAACGCCTATAATCCTAGACGCATTTAGCTGGTCTCATCCAGAGTGTATCTCTCTTGATCAGAGATTCATTCATATTGAGAAGTGTTCATCATCCAAATGGATTTTGTTTAACAATGGAAAAGCATGTATATGGCAGCATTTAGGGAGAGTGCTAGACGAGCGATGAAAGACATGGGCGACTTTTTGGAATCAGCTCCTGGAAATGTGGCCGTAAGCATGCATTCGTTTGTTCTGTAATGCTCTAAGAATGTTTTGCTTAAACGTTGAATAGTATCAATATGAAAGANTTGTGCTGAACAGTATTCGAATACGACAGAATTGCGTACATTGATGAGCTCGTATCGGATGTGAGCATATTTTGATGAATCGGACTGAAATGAACGAAACTGATTCATTATTGAACAATAATATTTATTTAAAAATAAGATATTCATGGATCGCATTTCTAACGCTACTGCTATAGTATTTGTACGTTCAAATAACAGATCTTCGATGCCACGAACACAACACGTGAACGGCGCGGATGGATCACGAAGTATTGCCTCGAGAATCATTTCCGTTGTTTCTTCGTCGAGAGCATTTGTGATGATGAGAAGATCATCGAAAGCAACATTACGGTAGGTGATTACATAACAATTTTCAGCTGCACGTGCAAGCGATCAAAGGAACGAACGTGACTGATTTCAGGACGTGAAAATCAACTCACCTGATTACAAGGGCTTAATGACCGAAGAACAAGCCAAAGAGGACTTCATTAAGAGGATTAACAATTACAAGAAAATGTATGAACCATTGGATGAGGTTTATGATAAAGATTTGGCGTATATTAAAGTGATCAATGCGGGTCGATCCTTCTTTGTGCATAATGTCAACGGACATGTACAGAGTAGGGTCGTTTACTTCCTTATGAACATTCATCTACTGCCTCGAGCCATTTACCTCACAAGGGTGAGTGATTGATTATGCAAGAATATTGAGACCGTTGAATGTACAATATTGTCAACAATGATCTTTTGTACAATCTAAGATTATAACGAATGGAGAAAAGATCTAATTTAAAGTGTTTCAATTCTCTATCAGAAAAAGAAGTTAAATTCACGTTAAGCGTTAATGGTTTTGTTGATGAACATCATTGTTTGAATGAAGAAAAAGGAGAAAATTGATCTACCAGAAGATCTCTCATTTTGGCATCAGGAATTATGTTATGAAAATAGAATGAATAATAAAGTGACTGAATTTAGCATGGTGAAAGTGAATATAATCGTGCAAAACGCTTAGGCGGCG